CTACAACAACGCCAAGGTCTTTTTCTTTTTCACTACTGTTGAGCCAAGTATTCCCGATCTTGTAATCAATGCAGGTGATTTTTATTTATTTTGGCTTCGGTGGAGATCATGGCATCTGTCCTTATTAATTTCATCTATTGCTTTCTGCCCAGCATTCAAGATTGCCATCAAAATCATTTATAAATATGTTGAAGCGTACTGGTCCCAAGACTGGCCCCTGTGGTACCCCACCCATACACTTCGCCCAGGTTGACAAAGCTGCCATTGGTGATCACTCTCTGTGGCCTATTTTGAAGCCAGTTGTGGGTCCACTTAATAGTAGTGATGTCAAGCACACATTTTGTTGATTTATTTATTAGAATGTCAGGGAGCACTTTGTTTTTGTTTTACTCTTGAAACAAATAGGTATTTTCAATTTTGATTTTTGAATTTTAGCATCCAAGTTTAAATGACAAAATAGAAAAATGATAATAACTGTGAATGCTTCATACACATTTAAATGACTAGGTTCCCAGCAATAAATGTCAAACCAAGTGACTCCATCTTTTCATCACTGATGGGAAGAAATTTGCCTGACCTGTTCACTACTAATGATGTTGGGTATTTGTTTTGCCTTTACATTTCAGCACTTTTTCTTCCAGTGTTCGGAATGTAGAACGTGAATTGGCTGCATATTCAGCACTGGTGATGTTTCCTTGGCAAGGGCTGAAATAGAAAGTTAATTTCGCTTGTGAGATAATTATTTTCTTTCTTTTTTTTAAAAAATGATTTGTCTAACTTATCCCATGGGCATAGTGTAAGTAACAATGACTTCACACTTACCAAAAAAGAGAGGATTCCTGCCCTCAAAGAGCTGACTGTGAATAAAAAGGTGGGCAAACAAAAGGAGAACACTATTCAAGTATTTATGTTATGCTAGATTTACTAGTGTCAGCTTTCTGAGATAATTTAGAATTGGGGATAAATGTCAAGATCTACTAGATTTCTGAGATATGCCATCCAGATAGATATAAAATCAGAGGTGAGAAAAAAGTTCCATCTTTGCATTCTCAATTGTCTTGTTCTTAGCAATCTTTTCTGTGCAGCCTAGAAACTGTAGATTCACCCTGTGAATTGTTTACCCACCTCTTGCTGCTTGTCCATAGTAGGGCACCAGGCCATCATAATGGATGCAAGTCCTATGCCTACCTTCTGTATTCCTATCTAGCATGCTCAGTCAAGAAACATGCTCAGTCAAGATTCAGTGAGTGGAAGAATTGCAAAATGGGGCTCCTGAAGTGATCCCTCTGTGTGGGTAATGCACCCATGGTTGAATATTTAATTGAGTTCTGGTTTGTTGGCACCTCCTTCTTAAAGCCTAAATGCATTGCTGATTAATTATTGTGTAGTACAGAATCTCTGCTATTTAACCAGAAATTTAAAAACTTTGTTTTAAACAAAATACATTTTATAGTCTAGGTATAAAATATACAAATATGAAAGCCTCCAGTTTAAGCAGATTTCAAATTTTATATGTGGACAACTTTGCATCAAGAGCATGCAAAAATATGCAAAGAAGAGCCTTCTGGACCCATTTTAGTCATGTGGAGATGGCAGGAAGAGTAAGGAAACATTTAATAGAATTGCCTTCTTTTAACTGAGATGGAGTGAGTATGACAAGTGTCTGTTTAAAGGAACTTTTAAGTAAATCTGTATGTTACCAAAACCTCATGCCAAGTGCCTTTTGATGATTACAGAGGAAGCATATATCTTCTCTAGTTTACAGTCTCTAAAGATATGACAACCAAAATCTTTAATAAGGCAAGAAAACACTTTTTGTCTATATAATCTATATGTAATTATTCAGGAGTACATCCTGTTAAGTTAAATGAGTCTTACGCCTAGGTAAATGGATGTAGGATCACAGTCTGAGTTGTTCTGTAAAGGAAGAAAGAGGAACAAGCTAGCATGTTTTGAGGGGTTTGGATGGTGGTGTGCTTTCTTAGAAACACTACTTAATTTGTTGGTGGGTAAATAATAATCTGTGTTTAAGGCTTTAGTTGATTGATTTCCAAAGCTTACCAAGATCACAGAAGGCACAATAAGTGGTGTTTGAGAGAGCAGGAATATAAAACCTTGTTTACATAACTTGCAGTTCATCATTTGTATACTCGTCTTGATCCTGAAAGAAAGGTCAAAAATCTGTTCAGCCTAGAGTAAATTTGAATTTATTCCCTGTGAGTATTATGGAATGTTTGGGGGGTGGAGGGGAAAGTACCAAAATACCAATAATGATTTGGTATTTTGAATACCTCTCTCAAAACTAGGAGAATGTACATAAATATCAGTTAATCAGGTGTAGTATATCTGGAGTGTATCTGCCAAGCAAATATTTTAGTGAGTGTGCATGAAAGAACTGTTTCTGATGGCTGAACGAAATGTGATGTGGCCAATCTGTAGTTGTGCTTCCAGACTACTATGCATTTTTTAAAATAAATTAATAGTGGAGGCATGGTCTGAATTGGCTGCCAGAGCACAGTAGTGGGAGCAAGAGGTAGTACTTTCCACCATGCCAATTTACTGCTTTTAAATTCCCTCAGAACTACTCAGAACTACAACATGTGAAAAGTACTGATAGCTGCAACTTTTCTTCTATGGGGTAAACAGCAAGGATGGATTTTAATTAGGGAAACAGTACATAATAAGTGCTTACTGCTTTCATTAACTGCAATAATTCCAATAATGTTCTCTTTCCATGCCCCATGATGACTGCCTATCCATAGGAATAACAGATGTGTGTCGGCCTGTCAATCTTATAGCACCAAAACTGATAAACTAGATACCTCAAACTTCAAATGTGTATTAAGGGGACCAAATAGCTATGCAACTTGGGGATATCTGGTTTGTAAACTAATTAATTTTAATTCCTGTAAAGATGTTTGTGATTTTGAAGCTTTAATTATTAGATGACAGACATTCTTAACCAGAACATACAATATCTTGCAGAAGTATTCACTTCATTTTGACTTTTCCACATTTTGTTGTGTTACAACCTGGAATCGAATGGATTTAATTGGCATTTTTACCACTAGATATTCAAAACTGTGAAGATGCAAAATAGTTTTATTGTGGCACAAACAGGGTGGATAAAAATAAATGGTGTTTTTTAAATCAAAAATGTATTTTTATTTAAACTTGAATATGTGAAATTGGATTTTTTATTTAATTTGGATTTTTGAGGAAAAATCTGGGAGCAAGGGTTTTTTTGGGGGTTTTTTGTTTTTTGTTTTTTTTTGAGGAGAGCATAACATGCTTTTTGAGGAAAACGCCGTCTAATGATAGTTTTCTGCTTAAGTTACATTATAGTCATCATAAAATAAATATTAGTTTTTAGTTATGTAGGATAAGGGTGTATATTCATGGAATGTTTCCATTTTTTAGTAAATGAATTCCATTAATCCATTTACAATGCCATGGCTTTCCAGAGGTTTCTTTAAGATTATGGGGCAGTTTTTCTATCTCGAAGAGGGGTCCTCAAAGTTTTCCACCAGGGGGCCAGTTGAAAGGTGCTAGTGCTGGGCACAGGCTGGAAATGTGGTGCTGGCGGTGTGTGTGCTGAGGTGGGGGTGGGCGCACAAGGCAGCGGCTTGCTCGCTTGGAGATCATTTTCTCTGAGCAAACTGCTGCCTCCCCACGCGCGGGGCAAGGTGGGCGGCGGCGGGTGCGTGCACAGGCGTGCGCGTGGTGGGTCCGAATGGGCATGGCAGGCCAGATAAATGGCCATGGCAGGCCGGATCCAGCCCCCAGGCTGTAGAATCAGCCTCTTAACTCTTAAGTGCTAAGATTCAAAAAATTCAACGAATAGAAGATTGTTGGGAGTGGAATACATCTGCACAAGAAGCTAAGTGTGACGAAGGAGGGACAAACAGTAAAAATGAAAACGAACCCCTTTGAGCAGAATACTCCATAAGTCTTCGGAGCCTGGTGTTATCATATTATTCTTTCCCTGGAGGAGAAAACCTATAATGGCAGAAGACTGTAAAAGAAAACCAGTTTGGGCATATTTAAATAAAGGCAGGCATGCCTGCAAAACCATGTTTTGAATCTAGTCATGCTGACTAATGATTTAAATTGATTTGGTGTAAATCCAAATCCAATCCACCCTAGGCACAAAAGTGTAAAAAACCCAATACAAAATCTAACACTTGTTGGCTACATATTTACATGCTTTTGTCAATACTTGACAGAAGCACTATTGTCAGCGATTGCAGCTGTAAGTCATCTTGGGTAAGTTTCTGTCGTGTGTGTGCTTGCACGAGAGGCTACCCATTTTATGGGACTGATACTTCAGATTCCAGTGATGGAATACACTCATGGGAGGCTACCTGGCTTGGCAGGACTGACTATGCAGACTCTGATATCGAGAAGGTTGTTGAAACTGTCCCAGCTTCAGCTGCAGCTCAAGGTCCTGAGCCACCGTAGGTTTCAGATATGGGGGAGATTAGCCTAAGGGCAGACGAGGAGACTAGTCAACTCAGCCATGGGAATGGGGAGGAACTGCATCAACTTGAGGGGAGGATTTGGAAATGGGTAGCATTTTGGATGGGGAACTCCCTCCGCTTGACCTGATAGATATCACCATTGCAGGGTGACTCAACTGGGGACACAGTTGGAGGAATGAAGACATGCCTGGTTTCACAAAGAAAGTTTTGAGTGAAGAATGCTAGAGAGGGTTCTACATTTTGCTGTGTGTATGTTCAGAGGATTATTTTTGACTTGTCAGAAGCCTGTGGTTAGGACCTGCAGTGTTCTTTCACTGACAAGAATAAATCTCTTCTATTGACAAAAAACATGTGAAAAATACTGGAATCTCTTTAATATGAATAAGACATAGCCTAAGAAGCAAGCAGTTCAGGTGTCCATTTTTTACTTCTTGCATTTGTTTATCTACTCACTGGCACAAGAAATACCTGTCGCTTTAAGGGTTTGATACAATTTGTTTTTCTTTCTTTGCTTTGCAGGTATAAATCTACATTTGGGATATTGGATGTATTGACTGGTTGCCTTGCTGTAAAGGTGACTTTTCTCCACTTTGGAATATGGTGCCTAACTTCAGCATCACAGTTATTGTGCCAGCAGTAGTTCTTTGCTGCTTGATGTCATCAACGGAAGCAGATAGTAAGTACCACTCAAATAAGAAAATGTTATGACTAAGGACACCTTCAGTAGACTTTATCCATCAAAAGTTAAATGGCCCTAAAGCATGTGCATTTGATGCAGTAGAATGGAAGGCCTGTATATCAGCCTTTGTTAGTTTGTATCCAATATATGTGATCCTGGCAAACTTGTCACAAAATGATGGGAAACTACTGAATTGCCTCATTGATTTCCATTACCAAATCTCAGATCATTTTGGACTGAAAGGGGTACAAATCTTGATTCTTAAGATCATTGCTTTTATTCAAAAATCTATGTTGGATATTTTATTTTTCTCGTTCTTGTTTCTACTTTTTTGTATGTTTTTACTTTGCAGTATTGACTGAAACACTAAAATATTTTGCTTTTTATCTATTATGCAATAATTTATTCATAAAGACCCCTAAAAAAGAGCCTTTTTATTTAAGCGTCATTTTAATTGTTAACAATATTTGCTTATTTATCTGGCCAGGGTGACTTCTTTTATATTGTTATTTATTTTATATTGTTAATTTTATATTGCTATGTTTGTATTTTATTGTATTTTATTTTGTGCTGTGAGCCGCCCCGAGGCTTCAGCAAGGGGCAGCATAGAAATGTTTTAATAAATAAATAAATAAATAAATAATTTTAATTCCTTTTACATAGATAATATTCTTGTTTTTAGATATCTGTTTACTTATGTATATACCTACATATACACTTACGGCCTGCCATGTTTGGCAGAAAGGGAAGAGATTAACATTCCTATTTAAACTGAATTTTGTATAAATGCGGATACTCATTCATTTACACTGTAACACAACAAAATGTGGAAAAGCCAAAGTGGGACAAAAATTTTTTGCCAGGCACTGTACTATTACCACTTGAGTGGGAGAGATGTGGACACAGTACCTGGGAAGCTAATTCCTGAAAGTCAAGGCAACAATTTGCCATTGACTTTACTTACCCTAAGGGAAATAATTTGGACCACAGTCCTCACCTCTTCCTAAAGTTAGATGCACACTTTGAGAGACATCAGTGTTTCTAACCCCAGGACTTACTTAAGAAAACTGAAAATGGCTGTGGCTCTCTAAGCACAAAATGACAGTAAAAGTAGGTACAGTCTGGCATAATCAGTTGGCAATTTCTGATATCTGTCTCTGTTTGAAATTAGTATATTCTTTGTCACAGCAATTTCTATGTGACAGGACTTCCATATTTCAACTAAGTAGGGACTTTGGCCCTGGAGTGTGACTCAGATTGACCATTTTAGGCAAAATTTTCTGATCCGTGGCTAGAAATTAAAGCTTTTTTATTTTATCCCTCTCAAATACTGCTTTATTCACCCCCTTCACACCTCCTCACCTTTCACACTTAAACCATATCATCCCTCTCCCTCTCTGAATACTAACCTTTTATTTCTCTCATTTCCTTCAAATACAACTCTAACACTTTCCCCATTCCCTTCCTCCTCACTGCTGCTGAACTTCTCCATTTTCTCTTCATGTTTACTCAGTCCCACCTTCTCTCCACACCAATTGCACAGACAAGCGGACATATATCTTTACTCTTCAGTTCCCATCACTGTTGCCCTGTGCCAGGATATTCTTCTCAAGTTCATCAGTTGCTGTCCTTGCAAGATCAGCCAATAGAGGTTTCCTGGCTCAGCAGGAGAAGGGGCAAAAGGGAAAGAAGACTGTTATGTGCAGATGAACATAAAGCAACTAAACAGTGCAGCCTCATGTGCAGCTTCTTTTTCTGTCTGCTCCTTTTGCCACCCCCCACCTCCCATGCTTTCTTCATCCTTCCATTGCATTCACCTAACTGCTTTGTCCACCCATCATATGTTTCCTTTGATTCATTTCCTTCCTTTGCTCTAAGCCTTGCCCTCCAACCAGCTCCTGCTTCTCATATTCCTAAGCAGTGTACATTTGGAGAACTGCTATGCTGGTGCTAGCAATGGTCCAACGAACAGGTTGGCAGGCAAGTGGCAAGATACTTTGTGGGCTCTGACACTAGAGCTTCACACCCTGGAGTGTAAGAAACACTGCTTTAAATGAACCAAAACTGAGTCTAGAAGAGAACCATTCAGTGCAGTTGCTGCAAAACTGGTTGAATATACTCTCGCCGTCCTGAACCAGTTAAAAAACATGTCACAGCATTTTGTACCAATTGCAATTCCAAGATAATTTTCAAGGGAAGCTCTGTGTAGGAGTATTAGTATAGTTAGTTGAGCAAGCTATCAGGGCATGAATGAGAGGAACAAAGTCCTCATTCTCTGAGAACATCCAAGTACATTTGATTTCTCTGCTAACATTACTTTTGTTTCATGTGATTCACCTTAATTCTGTTGGTTTTTTTCCACAGAGTTGTGTGCACAAGCCTTTCCCAATAGACATCAGATTTATCTACAAGTTAGGCATTTCCCCTTTCCCCCCGTATTTAACATGCATGCAATCGTTTCCTCCTGTAGGAGAAAAATTCCTTATGATTTTTCTCACTCAGCATTAGCCAGCCTAGTAGGTACATGCTGCTGGCTTGCTGCCTGAAAGGGAAGGGTAGCGAAAGACAGATGGTGTGGGAGGGAGGGAGTATGGTATTCCTCCCCATCCCACCCCCAAGGGCCAATTGCCACTGCTGCTGTTTTCTGCTTGGTTTGACTTTGTGCCAGCAATTAGCACTGCTGCAATTGGTGGTATTATAGCCTTTCTCTCAGAGTTACAGGTTCAGGAACAAACCTTCCAGTTCTGAAGTTCTCCCTGTACTTTGAAAGCCTTTTTTTAAAACTAGTTCTGTTCAGCTGTAATAGAAATTAAAGAAGAAACTAGGTTTTGCTCATTTAGTTGTGAGGGCCACTGTAGGTGATAATAGTTTCCTTCTGTTCTTTGAAAAAGAAATAGCAATGCTTCAAAACGTTTGGAGAATAAATTTCTGAACAGCACATTGGAAAACTTTCAAGACCTGTACTTATTAATTCTTCGTATTAATGTCTTTTTCCCTTACATCTTTATCCAAACACTTTTCCAATAGCTGCTTTATAAGTAATATAGAGTGTCTTGCAGAGTTATTCACACCACTTGGACTTTTCCACATTTTATTGTGTTCCAACTTGTGTTATAATGGGGAACTGAAATGGATTTAATTGGCATCACTATCACTTGATGTACGCAAAATACTTAGCTTTGAGAAGGTTCAAAATATTTTCATTGTTGGAAAAAATTTTTGTAAAGGGAAACAAACTGGCATTTGCTGGTTGCATACATATTTAGCACCCTGAGTCAATACTTCGTAGAAGCACCTCTGGCAGCAATTACAGTTGTAGGTCTTCTTGAAGAAGTCTCTACCAGCTTTGCAGTTCTTCATGGCAAAACTGCTCGAGCTGTGTCAGGCTTGCTTGCTTGCTTTATTTATTTATTTAAAACATTTTTATGCCGCCCCGTTCGCCGAAGCCTCGGGGTGGCTTACAACAATAGGCTTGAAGGGGATCAAGCGAGTTTCAAGCTTTGACACAAACTTACAACTTATCAGCATAGAGGTCATTCTAAGTTATTCAGGGTCCTGTTTTTAAACCGCACCATGTTATCATGGCTGTGCAGTTAAGGACATTATCCTGCTGAAAGATGAGCCTCTGTCCTAGCCTAAGGTCCCTTGTAGATTGAAACAGGTTTCCTTCTAGAATTTAAAGTTATTATTAAATGTATTTTAAATTTATTAAAATCTTAATAAACATAAATCAATGAATGAATTTCCTTGTATTTGACTCCAGCTATTTTGCCCTAAATCCTGATTGGTTTCGCACACCTTTGTAGAGTGTCCAGGTAATTTTCCTTTGGGTAACTGTGTAGTTGTCCTAGCTCAGCTATGGATCTCTCTTGCTCTTTCAGAGATACCATTGGCCATGTTATTGCTTCTGTAACTCTGTTATTGCTCTTTTTCCAATTTCTAAGTTTTGGTGGATGGCCTTCTCTTGGCAGAGTCACAGTAGGACCCTATTGTCTCCATTTTGTAATGATTTAATGGTGCTGGGGTGGTGGTGTATATAATTCATAGTTTAGAACTTTTTTTAAAATAATCAAACCTTGATTGGTAATTTTGTAGTACTTTATCCCATAGTTGCTTTGATAGCTCATTGGTCTTCAATGATGCTGCATGTTTAGATAGAAATTTTTACTTGGCACTGGAAATGCACCAGGTGGACCCCATACAACTACTTACATTGTGACTCCTGAAAGCAGTGGGTTGCACCAGAGCTTAATTAGACATGTCACAGCGAAGTACTTCTGCAAGGAACACGTGCTGGTTTGTTTTGTTTACTGATTGTTTATGCCACAATAAAATATTTTGCACCTTCCTGGTGTTGAGTGTTTTGTGTATATCAAGTGATAGCAATGCCAGTTAAATCCACTTTAATTGCAGCTTACTGCCACCTTGTAACAGCAAAATATGGACAAGTTATAGGGAGTGAATACAACTGCAAGGCACTGTAGTTGCCAATAATAATATTCACAGGTATATAAGAAAAGAAGAATAAGAACCATGCTGGATCAGAACAAGGTCTATTTAGTCCATCATTCAGTTCATACAGTGGCCAACCATCTGCCCACAGGAAGCACACAAGGAAGGCAGGATCCAGGGAAGGTGATTATTCCTATGCTAGTGCAGCTGCTTATCCAATGCAACTTTCATGTTAAGCTTTATAGCAGCTATCCATCGTACTTTATCCATCCATTATTTAAGCAGCATTTTAAATGTTAATACTATTGAATTTTATTTGGCCAGGGTGGCTTATTTTATTCTAATGTATACATTTTAATTGTTATTGTTTTAATTTATTGTGTATTTTATTTTATGCTGTGAGCCGCCCCAAGGCTTCGGCAAGGGGCGGCATAGAAATAAGGTCTTGGAGCACAATGGATAGCTCATACAACTCAAAATAAAAGTTGCAATGGATATAGAAGCACCCTGACGTGAGAGTCATGAGTGTTCTCTATGCATCTGTA